ACCCGCAGGTCGCGCGAGTCGGCGACGCCTTCGGGAGGGCCTTCGTACGCCGGCGGTGTTGGCCGGCCGTGGCTGGGGCGTTGGTGGCCATTAAGCACGTGGTCAGCCGTCGAGCGACGTGGAGGTGAGGGGTTGGGTTTGCCACGCACATTTTTCCACGCTTTTTATTTAACTCACTCTCGTCTTAAAGCTTTCGTGACTGCAGGGATTAATCTTATTGGTTCTTTCGGTAAAGTCACGTAGAAGGGAAATAATAAAATTAAAAAAATTAAAAACTAATTCTCATTTTTTTTCTTTTATTAAGTTTGCTTTTTATTATTTTATTATTTCCCTTCTACGTGACTTTACCGAAAGAACCAAGAAGATCACTCTCGTCTGTTGTAGTATCCTCAAAAAAATCTTGTAACTCAATTTTTACCCACTTCCCCCAATGTGATATCGACTGCAAACCAGGTATAGGTATGTCTTACTGATGTCAAGACCATATTCTATCATTAAAAATAAAATATATATATATTTTTTACATTTTACACGCTTTTTAAATCCTTTATATTAAGTTCGCTTGCTTGCTTACGACCGTAAAAATTTTCGGTCGTTTTTTAACCCACTTCCCGTGATCCAATTGAGCTGACATTTTGCACACAGACTCGTTGTGCGTGACAATTTATTTTCGTGAAATTTTTTTTCCAAAATTTTACACTTTTTAGGAAAAAATAAATTATATTTAATTACCAATTGCTTAATGGTGGCAGGCAATCATCTGACCCATAGGTGGCAGCCATCTCAAGCCAGAGGACGAGAGGACTCTAGCCGCCACGCATATAAAGGATTTATAGTGAAAAACTTTGTTTTTACAGGTTAATTTTTTTACAATCGGGTTTAATTGTCTTTTTATATTAAACCCGATCATCTGAGATTGGGAGAAATCCGGTGTAATTGGTTCTAATTGCAGAACCGCACTTCGCCAACTTCTCAACGATGGGCTTCATCCATTCCAAGCGAAGGAACTCACTGGCAGTGCCCACGATTGTGGAGGAGAAGCTCTTTGTATTCATCAAGACCAACCTGCCCGCCGCATTCTACGACTACCCCGTGCCCGACGGCCACCCCGAGTACGATAGCAGCACCGACGAGGAAGCAGCCTAAGCCTTGGATCAGAGTTTCGTATTCATTAAACCAGGTTTTTATTCCCCGAAATCGGGTTTAATTGTATTAAAGAAAAAAACCCGATGCCTGCCGCTGGAAAAATTGGGTTTTTTCCAGCCATGATTTTTACACGCTTTTTATTTAACTCACTCCCGTCTGTTGTCGTATCCTCAAATCTTGTAACTCAATTTTAACCCACTTCCCAATGTGCTATCGACTGCAAACTTGGTATACGTATGTCATACTAATGTCAAGACTATTTTCTAACATTAAAAATAAAATATATATTTTTTAACGCTTTTTATTTAACTCACTCCGTCTGTTGTAGTATCCTCAAATCTTGTAACTCAATTTAAACCCACTTCCCAATGTGCTATCGACTGCAAACTTGGTATATGTATGTCTTACTGATGTCAAGACTATATTCTATCATAAAAAAATAAAAATAATGTTTTAAACATTTTACACGCTTTTTATTTAACTCACTGTCTGTTGTAGTATCCTCAAAAAATATTCTAACTCAATTTTTACCCACTCCCCAATGTGGTATCGACTGCAAACTTGGTATACTTATGTCATACTAATGTCAAGACTATTTCCTATCATAAAAAATCCAAAATATATATTTTAAAAATTTTACACGCTTTTATTTAACTCACTCTGTTGTCATATCCTCAAATCTTGTAACTCAATTTCAACCGTCTTCCCAATGTGCTATCGACTGAAAACTTGGGATAGGTATGTCATACTGATGACAATACTATATTCTATCATTACAATTTTTAAATATATATTTTTAAACAATCTTTTTACGGCTCTAATTGTCCACGCTCAACTCACGTTGTTTGTAAATCACCACGGCCCCTTTCGCTGTGGCAAGCTTCGGGGCCACTTCCTGGAGTCGTGGAGTTTTGCCATTACTCGTACTGTTCATTTCATTAAAGCGTGTTTTTTAAAAGTATTTTTTTATATTTTATTTGTTTGGCGAAAGTCCCTTTTCCGTGCACATCGGAAGAGGGGCCCCGTGTATTACCCTGGCTCGCTGGAGGACCGTACCGATGGCAACATTGTTGTGGGCTCCACTTGTTCCGTCCGACGCACACACGTGGGATGATACTAATGACAATTTGTCAAGCGTCGTAACCGGGCAAGCCATTTGACAAGTGCGGGATACAGCCAGGATACTCCTTTATTAGTCCATTGAAAACATAAACGTGTGGACCACGTACGCAATGGTGAGCATTCTGTAAAAACCGTGTGCGAGCGTGCGCAGTTTTAACGCATCTTAAACACGTGATGATTCGGACTCTGGCCCAGGCGGGCAGAGGGAGGGGACGGCCGCCCCCTCAGTGCAGGCCTCGAGTGGCGTCAGTCGGCCCACGAAGCGTCCCCACGTTACATTCATTTCATCCAGACCCAGGCAAGACCCGGGCCTGATCAGACCAGATTCTCCTTTTCCACTGTCACATCCGAGCCGCCGGGGTGCGGGCAACACAAATCTGCCCTGGTGGGTGTGGCTGGTTTTCCCACTGGCAATTTGCCGTGCAAAGCAAGAAACAAATGGAACCATACTACGCTGGCTCTCACGAGGCGTCGCATTCTGGCTCGGGGGGTGGGGGTCAAACAGGGCCAGTTGCGGCGGTAACGACGCTGCAGCGTTGCGTGCGACCTCAGTCGGTGCACGGCGAGGCTGCGGTGTCATCGCCGCGTCTCCTACTCGTTCACCGCGTCAGTGGCACGGCTCACCTTCTGCAGTGGAAAAGGAAAAACACCACCCACTCGACGCCCGAGCTGCGCCGGGCTAACTCGGCACGGCTCCAGCACGGCTCGGTTATGTGCAGTGGAAAAAAAAAGAGGTACAACGTGACCCAGAACCAGACCTGAACCCAGACGCCCCCCCCCCCCCTTCTTCATGAGCGGCACGTCGCACCCCCGTTGCGGGGCTGCGGAGCGTGAAAACTCTCAAAGCCCGCGGCAATTTGGTCCCCCCCCCCCCGACACCAGCTCATGCGAACGATGTCGCGGGATCTCTAACATCCACTCGACAGCAGGTGACGCGCTTTGGTTGATGGTGATGATGGTGGTGGCGGTGATGAGGATGATGCTGAGAATGACGGTGATTGTAATCATGATTAGAACATAATTCTAGATTTGAAGCTTTCGTGACTGCAAGGATTCATATTCTTAGGCTTTTTCGGTAAAGGCACGTAGGTAAAAATTGTAAAATTTTAATTAATGAAAGTAAAATAAAAATAATTTTAATTTAAATGTTTTACCTACGTGACTTTACCGAAAAAACCTAAGAATATGATTACAACCATCACTGGGTGGGTGGGTGGCGGGGCAGGGCGGGGGTTCCTCCGAGTCGTTCACATCACCCTGCCATGGGTCAGGGTCAAAGGGCAAAGGGCAGAGCTGTGCAGGACCCCCCACCAAACCCTGCCCCCTAACCCGGCCACCACCCACCCCGAGACCACCCCGCGGTGCAGCCACGCAGCTCGCGATGGCGACTTGCGATCGAACATCTCCGACTTCGGAGTCCACCGTAACGGAACACGCTCTAGGCTTACAGTATTGCGAAAAAGGGAATTGGCCGCGCATCTCCCGGTGTAGCAGGGATGCTATTGGAGACGAGTCTCGGGGGAGGGGGGTGTAGGGGAAGTGGGAAAAAGGACGTCGCGACCGTTATCAGGAAAAAGGACGTCGCCACCGTTATCAGCACGATTTATAATTACCAACCTTTAAAAAGCTGAAGCCCCACCACCCGACCAATCGGAGCGCGGATATCCGAGGCCATCCACCTCGCCGGCTCAGGGCGCTACCCCTGCCGCGGGACATTTACAAACGGCCACTCGGTGGCCTCCGACCGCGAGGGAAACGAAAAGCAGGGAGAGGCCACCGCGGCCTCGGGCACGGCACGTCCTGGCCGTGCAGGCAGGAGGACGAGGAGGACGAGGAGGACGAGGACGAGGAGGGAGACACAGAAGGGTGCCACCACTGAACCCGAATCCTGCGGGAAGCGGCAGCTGCTCGCGCCCCGGAACCGAACCCGGGATCCAACTCGAACCTCAAACTCAGCGGGCCCTCCCCCCCCTCCACCCTCACAGCCACCGCGCCACCGCAGGCCCCACCGAGCCAACCCACCGCCACCCTCACCCAATAAAGTGCTAAATTGTACAAAACTGTTCAAGGAACTAACGGAACAGGGGGCTCTACGCAAAGAACAACGCTAGCGACGGCGATAGTAGAAAACACGTGCTAATGTAACAGCCATGGCGACAGCAACGACAGTCAAAGACAGGAGGGGCCCGGCCTCCCAAACCAAAGCGCCCTCGGCCAGTCGGCGCCACGATCTCGACTCTTCAATTGCGACTGCAACTGGACCCCACGGCAACGGCGGCGTCGTCGTCGTCATAAATACACGTGGCCCCGGGCCTCCTGGCCGCAACCGCAACTCCCTCATCTTAGCCCCCCCCCCTTCCTCCGATTAGTGCAAACGCTCAGCTGGGGAGGGACGTGGGGGACACGGGGGGTGGGGAGGGGTGGGGTAGGGAGGGGCGCTGGGGGGGCTCCAGTGACAACGCTCACGAACGGCGATGGGCGGCTCGTCGCCGTCATCGTCGCTTCAATCTTCCTCGTCGCCATCATCGCCACCGGCGAAGCAGCATCGACCCCCCCCCTCCCCCCCCGTTCGGCAATGGGGGGGGGCGGAGGCGATAGCCGGGGCCGGGACCATCGCGAGCTCTGGCCCGGCCCCCGGCCTAACCGGACCGGGACAATCCCACCACGAGTGGGGCCGCGTCCTGGAACCGGATTCTGTAAACGTTACATGGAATGGGGGGCGGGGGGGGGGGGGTCGGAGGGGGCAGGGGGGGAGTGGACCCCGCCCGCCCGCCCGCCCCTCCCCCGTCTCCTCGTCGTCAGCTGGCGCCAGACCCCAGAGCCGGCGTCCAATCGCCGGCACCATCCCGGCCCTCGTCCGGACCTTCCCGGTTCCGGCACGGTCGGCGCAAAACTTCGACTCGGCTCAGAACTCCGGCAGGGGCAGGAGAGGGCCACGAAGGGTGACGGAGGAGGGAGGGGAGGGGGGAGGGGGGGTCACGTGGTCCCGGAGTTTGGAAGGGAAGTTCGGGGGGGGGGGCGGCTATTGCCGCACGCCGTCGATGGCGCGGGGGAACGCCGGGAAGCCGTGCAACTCCGCGAGCGCGGCCGGCGCCAGCAGCGGCGCCGTCCTTCCTCCGGCGCCGCCGGGGCCCAGCTGCGCCTTGGCGCAGTACTCGGCCGCGATGGCCTGCTGCATCTGCAGCAGCGGGTAGAGGTGCGGGTGGGGCCGGTGCCCGAAGAAGCCCCGCGCCACCGCGTCGTCCGGCGCCGCGCCGTTGCTGGCGCCGCCGACGCCCGCGTCTCCCAGGCGCCCGAAGATCTCGCCGTAGAAAGCGCTCGCCGCGTAGCCGGTGGCCGGGTCCGGCGGAGGGGCGGCTGGGCACGGCGGCGCCGGGGGGGGAGGAGGAGGCGGCGACGGCGGCGACGCGTGCAGGCGCTCGTGCCGTCCCGGCGGCCCCGCGTCGCGGTGCTGCTGGTGCTGCTGGTGCTGCATCATCATGGCGCGGCTGACGGCGTAGCGCTCCGTACGGGAACCGCGACCCCCTCCCCGGCCACGCCGGCGCCCGCGCCCTCCCCCTCTATCCCCGGGGGGGCACCAGCCCCCCTCCGCCGCCGTCGCCCCCGAGCAGCCCCCACCGCCGCCCCCCCGCACCCCTCCACGCCCGGCCCTGGTGGGCCACGGTGCCCCCTCGGCGCCGGGGTCGCGCTCCGGCTTGGGCAGACGGTGGCGGCGAGGGCCGCCGGCGTGGGGGCCACCGGCTCGGCAGCTCTGGCGCTTGACGTGGCGGTGGAGGTGGTCGGAGCGTGTGAACGTCTTGGGGCACGTGGGGCACTGGCAGCAACATCAGCAACGATGACGTCAACGACAGTCGCACCAACAACGATGACGTCAACGACAGTCGCACCAACAACGATGACGTCAACGACAGTCACATCAACAACGATGACGTCAACGACAGTCGCACCAACAACGATGACGTCAACGACAGTCGCACCAACAACGATGACGTCAACGACAGTCACATCAACAACGATGACGTCAACGACAGTCGCACCAACAACGATCACGTCAACGAGTCACATCAACAACGATGACGTCAACGAGTCACATCAACAACGATGACGTCAACGACAGTCACATCAACAACGATGACGTCAACGACAGTCGCACCAACAACGATCACGTCAACGAGTCACATCAACAACGATGACGTCAACGACAGTCACATCAACAACGATGACGTCAACGACAGTCGCACCAACAACGATCACGTCAACGAGTCACATCAACAACGATGACGTCAACGACAGTCGCATCAACAACGATGACGTCAACGACAGTCACATCAACAACGATGACGTCAACGACAGTCACATCAACAACGATGACGTCAACGACAGTCACATCAACAACGATGACGTCAACGACAGTCGCATCAACAACGATGACGTCAACGACAGTCACATCAACAACGATGACGTCAACGACAGTCACATCAACAACGATGACGTCAACGACAGTCGCATCAACAACGATGACGTCAACGACAGTCACATCAACAACGATGACGTCAACGACAGTCACATCAACAACGATGACGTCAACGACAGTCACATCAACAACGATGACGTCAACGACAGTCGCACCAACAACGATCACGTCAACGAGTCACATCAACAACGATGACGTCAACGACAGTCACATCAACAACGATGACGTCAACGACAGTCGCACCAACAACGATCACGTCAACGACAGTCACATCAACAACGATGACGTCAACGACAGTCGCATCAACAACGATGACGTCAACGACAGTCACATCAACAACGATCACGTCAACGACAGTCACATCAACAACGATGACGTCAACGACAGTCACATCAACAACGATGACGTCAACGACAGTCACATCAACAACGATGACGTCAACGACAGTCGCATCAACAACGATGACGTCAACGACAGTCGCATCAACAACGATCACGTCAACGACAGTCACATCAACAACGATGACGTCAACGACAGTCACATCAACAACGATGACGTCAACGACAGTCACATCAACAACGATGACGTCAACGACAGTCGCATCAACAACGATGACGTCAACGACAGTCGCATCAACAACGATCACGTCAACGACAGTCACATCAACAACGATGACGTCAACGACAGTCACATCAACAACGATGACGTCAACGACAGTCACATCAACAACGATCACGTCAACGACAGTCACATCAACAACGATGACGTCAACGACAGTCGCATCAACAACGATCACGTCAACGACAGTCACATCAACAACGATGACGTCAACGACAGTCACATCAACAACGATCACGTCAACGACAGTCGCATCAACAACGATGACGTCAACGACAGTCACATCAACAACGATGACGTCAACGACAGTCGCATCAACAACGATGACGTCAACGACAGTCGCATCAACAACGATCACGTCAACGACAGTCACATCAACAACGATGACGTCAACGACAGTCGCATCAACAACGATGACGTCAACGACAGTCACATCAACAACGATGACGTCAACGACAGTCACATCAACAACGATGACGTCAACGACAGTCGCATCAACAACGATCACGTCAACGACAGTCACATCAACAACGATGACGTCAACGACAGTCGCATCAACAACGATGACGTCAACGACAGTCGCATCAACAACGATGACGTCAACGACAGTCACATCAACAACGATGACGTCAACGACAGTCGCATCAACAACGATGACGTCAACGACAGTCGCATCAACAACGATGACGTCAACGACAGTCGCATCAACAACGATGACGTCAACGACAGTCACATCAACAACGATGACGTCAACGACAGTCGCATCAACAGCGATGACGTCAACGACAGTCACATCAACAACGATGACGTCAACGACAGTCGCATCAACAACGATGACGTCAACGACAGTCACATCAACAACGATGACGTCAACGACAGTCACATCAACAACGATGACGTCAACGACAGTCGCACCAACAACGATCACGTCAACGACAGTCACATCAACAACGATGACGTCAACGACAGTCACATCAACAACGATGACGTCAACGACAGTCACATCAACAACGATGACGTCAACGACAGTCGCATCAACAACGATGACGTCAACGACAGTCACATCAACAACGATGACGTCAACGACAGTCGCATCAACAACGATGACGTCAACGACAGTCACATCAACAACGATGACGTCAACGACAGTCACATCAACAACGATCACGTCAACGACAGTCACATCAACAACGATGACGTCAACGACAGTCACATCAACAACGATGACGTCAACGACAGTCGCATCAACAACGATGACGTCAACGACAGTCACATCAACAACGATGACGTCAACGACAGTCGCATCAACAACGATGACGTCAACGACAGTCACATCAACAACGATGACGTCAACGACAGTCGCACCAACAACGATCACGTCAACGACAGTCACATCAACAACGATGACGTCAACGACAGTCACATCAACAACGATGACGTCAACGACAGTCGCATCAACAACGATGACGTCAACGACAGTCACACCGACATCAGTGCGGTGATGCAGCCTGGCGTCAGCACGTTCGCCGCTCGTCACGGTTCGAATTCCAGTGGCTGCCCTGGTTAATACTGCGGTGTGTGTTCACCGTCCGCTTCACAGTGAGTCGGGCGTGGTGCTGACCACCCCACCCCCTCGAGTGCCGTGCCGGCCTTCATAGGTGCTCGCTGAGAGCACTGTTAAGGCTACAGGGGAGATTTTTGTATATTTGTGCGTGTGAGAGTGAGTGTGCGATTGCGAGTGAGTGTGTGGTCAGCTGGTAGGGACGCATGTATATGTGAGTGCACGCATGGTTGTGTAAGTGTGTGAGTGTGCGCGAGCGTGCCACTAAGAGGTGGGGCCTTACTATCAGCCCCACTGAAACTAAGCACCTGCCTGGGTATTTTGTGCCATCAAACACTCCGCCCCCTGATCTCCCCATTGGTGATGGGGCAGTTGTGGGATAGAGTTGAGAGTTGTCCATACCCGGGCAGTGTGCTTATGACCAGCTCCGGTTTGACAGCAGAGGTCTCACTCCGTATCAGTCGAACGGGATTATCGTTTCATCGTTTGCGTAACGCTGTGTGGAAACTACCTGGTCTGTCGTTCCACACGAAGCTTCAGGACTTCTCGGCCACGGTCATTCCCACCCTTCTCTACGCTTGCGAAATGTGGACCCTCCCTAATGGGACATCTTTGCCGGTTAGGAAACATTTAGGCTGCCCTGCATACAGTCCATCGTGGGTTTAGCCAGTCTAGATTGCGTGAGGAGCTCAGAAATTATTGAAAGATCTGGGCAAAGTCCCATTTGGTGAGCTCCTCCGGTAGGCAAGGCTGCGTTGGCTGGGTCATGTAGCCCGCATGCCCAGCCACCGCATGCCTAAACAGCTTTTGTTTGTATTCTTAGGTTTTTTCGGTAAAGTCACGTAGGTAAAACATCAAAATTAATGAAAATAAAATAAAATAATTTTTATTTTATTTTATTTTCATTAATTTGGATGTTTTACCTACGTGACTTTACCGAAAAAACCTAAGAATATGAATCCTTGCAGTCACGAAAGCTTCAAATCTAGCTTTTGTTTGGCCAGATCAAGAGGGCTAAATGGGCGCGGCACGGGCTAGAGAAGAGATGGAGTGATGGGATACAGGAGGACGTGGAGCTGAGTGGACTTGCCGATGACTGGTACCAGCGGTGTCAAAATCGGCTTCTGTGGAGGAGGCTCGTGAAGGACGCTACTGGGCAGTTGGAGGCAGTCGCCCTCCAACAACGGAGGGCGGAGGAGCGATGCTCACAACAACGAGCGGAGCGCCGGGTGGCTAAAGCACAGCAAGTTGGCACAGTAGGGGGCACAGGTGGTGCATCAGCCAGTCATCTCGGTCATCTCAGTCAGTCGACCCGTGGCACCTGCTGGGTCTGCCCCGTGACCTCCTGCCAGCGGGCGTTCGACACTTCACGTGGCTTCAAGGTGCACATGGCCTGGCACAAGCGTCGTGGTGACGTCACCGCCACTTAGTGGCGAATGGCGGTTGTTGTGTGTAGCTGTGTGTGTGTAGCTGTGTGCAGCTGTGTGTGTGTAGCTGTGTGTGTGCGAGTTTGACCTGCCCCCACCCCCGGCTCTGAATGGTAGCCCCCCACTTAGATGACCACCCCCCCCCAGGTAGCCCCCCCCTTAGATGACCCCCCCAGGTAGCCCCCCCCCCCCACTTAGACCCCTCGCCCCTCAGGTGACCCCCCCCCCTCCCAGAGGAAACCCCCAATTAGATGACCCCCTCAGGTGAGACCCCAAATTTACACGACCCCCCCCACCCCTCCTTCAGGTACGGCCTGGATCGCTTCACGTGGAAGCCTCAAGGTGCACATGGCCTGGCACAAGCGTCGTGTTGACGTCACCGCCACTTAGTGGCGAATGGCGGTTGTTGTTGTTGTTGTTGTTCACCTGGTAGGGACGCGCCCCCGTGTGAGTGCGCGCGTGGTTGCGGAGGTCGTAGCTGTGCATGAAGGCGGCTCCGCAGCAGGCGCAAGCGTAGGGGCGCTCGCCCGTGTGCTTGCGCATGTGGATCTTCAGCTTGTCCTGCCTGGGGAGCGGCACCGCACTGTACTGCACCGCACTGTACCGCAACACACTCTACCGCACCACACTCTACCGTAATGCACCACACTTTACTACACTGCACTCTACCACAACGCACCACACTCTACCGTAATGCACTGCACCACACTACCTCACCGCACTCTGCCGCACCGCGCTGCACCAAACTGCACTAATGCACTGCACCACTGCACAACACGTACATGGCACACAACAACAACAACCGCCATTCGCCACTAAGTGGCGGTGACGTTACCACGACGCTTGTGCCAGGCTGTGTGCACCTTGAGGCCACGTGAAGTGTCAAACGCCCGCTGGCAGGAGGTCACGGGGCAGACTCAGGTGCCACGGGTCGACTGACTGAGATGACTGAGATGACTGGCTGATGCACCACCTGTGCCCCCTACTGTGCCAACTTGCTGTGCTTTAGCCACCCGGCGCTCCGCTCGTTGTTGCGAGCGTCGCTCCTCCGCCCTCCGTTGTTGTTGGAGGGCGACTGCCTCCAACTGCCCAGTAGCGTTTTTCACGAGCCTCCTCCACAGAGGCCGATCTTGACACCGCTGGTACCAGTCATCGGCAAGTCCACTCAGCTCCACATCCTCCTGTACCACATCACTCCATCTCTTCTCTGGCCTGTGTCGCGCCCGTTTAGCCCCCTGGATCCGGTCGAACAAAAGCTGTTTGGGCATGTGGTGATTGGGCATGCGAGCTACATGGCCTAGCCAATGCAGCCTTGCCTGCCGGAGGAGCTCACCGATGGGACTTTGTCCAGATCTTTCGAGGAATGATGAGCTCCTCTCAGCTAGCTGAGACCATGCCACTAAGGGTATAAATGGGGTCTTGGGTGTACACCCACCATCGGAGTGGAATAATGGCAGACGCATTTTACAGATGACAAATCGATGGTCAGTGGGCAGATCAGCTCCACGGTAGGTCCTGGTGTCAAGGACATGGGCCCGCATCCGCTGTTCCGTCACTATGTAGTCCAGCAAATGTTTTAGCTTGGACCCGGCATGCATCCATGATTTTGCGTGGATGCGCCGATGCCGGAACAGCGTGTTGGTAATTATAAGCCCATGGGCTGCACTAAAATCGAGCAGCCTCCTGCCGTTGTTATTGAGCTGATCTGGCCCATGCCTTCAAATCACTCCAGACCAGGTGCCAGCATCATGACCAACTCGGGCATTGAAGTCACCCAACAGGATGACTCTATCCCGAAGGGCCACTTGAGCTAGCACCTGTGACAGGAGGCCATAGAAAACATCTGACTCATCGGCCTTGCCTGCATCCCTCCACGGATGTTCGTCTTTGGTGGGGGCATAAGTAACCACGACCACCACTCTTCGCCTCTGGTTGATGGGAAGGCGAGCCCAAAGTAGCCTGGGGCTTACAGCTTCCCACACCTCACCGCCACGCTCCCACGCCCCCGTCATTCTTTTGTTTAGAAGAAGAGCCACTCTCTGTTGTTTGGCAGTCTCCTGCCCCGAGTAGAGGACTGTCCACCCCTCATGGTGGCAGGAGCCAGAGCCGGTCCACCGGACCTCCTGAAAACCACAGCGATCCAGGCCGTACCGGTCCAGCTCCCGACAGAGGAGTGGCAGCCTCTCCTCCGCAGTGAGCGTTCAATAATTCCACGTAGCCATCCATAGTGGTTTTTTGTTGTTTCTAGAGGAACCCCGAGGGTTAGGATTCAGTCTCATGGCTCCGCCAAATGGGGTTTGGCCAGGAGGCGTCATAGACGCCTGTCCCCCCAGGGCCTACGGCACAAGCTTATTAATTAAAATTTTCAGACGTGGTTTAGTGGTAATTAATTGAAGGTGGAGGGGTTACCAGCCCCTCGCACCCATCCAGAGCCACCCATGCACACACACACACAGTAACATGCACACACAGTAACAAACAGTCACATAGTAACACACACACCCATGCGCACACACACACACACAATAACACGCACACACAGTAACACGCACACACAGTCACAAGCAGTTAGTCACACAGTAACACACACACCCATGCACACACACACACACAGGAACACACAGTAACACACACACACACACAGTAATACACACACACACAGTAACACGCACACACAGTAACACACACACAGTAACACGCACACACAGTCACAAGCAGTCAGTCACACAGCAACACACACACCCATACAGACACACACACAGTAACACACAGTAACACACACACACAGTAACACGCACACACACACAGTAACACACACAGTAACACACACACACAGTAACACACACAGTAACACACACAGTAACACACACACACACAGTAACACGCACACACAGTGTCACAAGCAGTCACACAGCGGCAGGAGGCGCCGCCGCCGCCAGCTCACCTGGTGAATCGCACTCCGCACGTGCCGCAGATGTACGGCTTCTCGCCCGTGTGCGTGCGCATGTGCCGGGGCAGCTTGCCGGCGCCCTGGATCACCTTGTGGCACACGGGGCACTCCTGGCTCGCCTTGGGCCGGTAGCCGCGGCCGTCCACCTCGCCGAGCACCACGGCGGCCGACAGGCCGGAGAGCGCCGACGAGGAGTAGAGCAGGCCGAGGCAGGCGCCCAGGTCGAACTCCTCGCCCGGCTCGCTCTTCACCATCGCCAGCAGCTGCTCGCGCGCCAACTGCTGCTGCTGCTGCTGCTGGTGCTGCGGTGCCGGCGGCGGCGAAGACGGCGGCGACGACGGCGGCGAAGACGACGACGACGACGAGGACGACGGGTGGGCAGGAGGCAGCGGGGACGAGCGCGGTGACCCGGGTCTCCCTCGGCCACCGCTGCCGGCGCCGCCGTCGAGCCGGCTCCGCTTGCGCCCGCCACGAGCCCCTCGGCGTCGCCAGTTGCGTTTGAAGCCGAGGTCGTAGGGCGCGGCGGGGTCGTAGGGCGTGGGGCCGAACGACTCCGGGTTGAAGGTCGTGGGGTCAAACCGCCCCCCGAGGGCGTGCGTGGGAGCGGAGGCCCCTGCCTGCCTCTCGCTTCCCGGTTCCACCTTGACGGTGCGCGGCGGCAGCGGTGACGGCGGCGGCGATGGCGACGACGAGGACGGCGGCGGCGGCGGCGAGGGTGCGGCGCGGGGCGGCGAGGTCATCGGCGGTGGTGACGCCGTCGGCTTCGCGATCGCGTCGTCCGCGTCGTCCGCGGTGAGGTCCGTGGGGTCGTCGGGGGCCGCTGGGCCTCCCCCGTCCCGGTGCCGCAGGTGGAAGGGGGGCCCCCAGGGCCCCGCGCGTTTCCTGCGGGAACCGGTCCCCGGGCACGGAGCCGCTGCTGGGCCACACGGAGACAGAGATCCCCCGTGAGTACGGCACAGGACGTGCAACCGAGATACCCTGCCGCCCCCCTCTACCCGTGCACGACAGCGGCGGCGGCGGTGGCGGGGAGGGGATGGTGGCAGTGTTGGTGGTGGCAGTGTTGGTGGTGGCGGTGTTGGTGGTGGCGGTGGTGGTGGTGGCAGTGTTGGTGGTGGCGATAGTGGCGGTGGTGGCAGTGTGACCTCTCACCTCTCAGCCGAGGCGGCTCGGCCGCCCCCCACCCCTCCATGCCCGTCCACCCAACAAGCGGCCGCTCCCCCACATCCTCCTCCTCCTCCGCATCCTCTTCCACACCACCACCACCACCACAGTCATCGCCGCCGCCACCATCGCCGCCGTCGCCGCCGTCCCCACCTCCACCATCGTCGCTGCTGCTGCTGCCGGCGGCGGCGGCCTCCATGATGTCCCGGCACACGGCGATGACGCAGGGGATGTCGAGGAGGCGCGCGGCGCTGAGCACGTCGGGCAGCGTGCCACTCGTCACCGTGAGCGTCGCCGTGTACGCAAAGTCCAGCAACGCCGCCATGGCGCCGGCCGACACGAAGTCCACGCGGTACGCCACCGCCGCCGCCGCGGTCGCCGCCGGGCTGCCGCCGTTGCCGCCGCCGCCGACGCCGACGCCTGCCGGCGGGGTCGCCGGGGTCGCCGGGGTCGAGGGGCGCTCGCTCGCCAGTGCCGGCTCCTCGCCGGACGTGAAGAGCTCGCGGAAGTAGCGGCTGCAGGCGGCGAGGACGGCGCGGTGGGTGCGGAACTCGCGGCCGCGGACCTGCGCCAACGCACGCGTCGCACCGTCGCCGCGGTTACACACGCGTGCAGACGCACACGACACCGTGCCAACACGCGCGTTAACACACGCACACCACGCCAATGCAGACCGTGCCAACACGCGCGTTAACACACACACCACGCCAACGCACACAGACACCATGCCAATGCACACACACACACCACGCTAACACACTGCACGCCAACACACACACATCGCAACAACGCACTACACTTAGAGCATCACAATCGGCCATGGTCAATCCGCCGCTGGATGATGGACTCCCCAAGCCGCTGCCACCTCTCACGATCACGTGACCCACCCAGCACTTAAAACTCTAAACTATGATAATTGGTTTTTTACCCTTCTATCTGGCAACAAAACTGAAACATTTTTTACAAGGAGTCATGTTTGCATAGACCACAATACCTGCAGCCATAATGCAAACAAAAAACATAGCTCTGATAATGTATGCACTGTGGACCAATCAACTTCAAGGACAATGCATATATTATCATAGTTACGTTTTTTTTGTTTGCATTATGGCTGCAGGTATTGTGGTCTATGCAAACATGACTCTTGTAAAAAAGGTGTCAGTTTTGTTGCCAGATAGAAGGGTAAAAAACCAATTATCATATTTTTTTACTGGCAAATGAGGTTCCCACCAGGCAATGCTCGCGGAGCTCTACAGCTCTTTTTCAGAAGCGACCTGCCCACAAATGATAGCTCAACGAAGCGTCTTGTCATCGTGCGGAAATTCATAGCATCCAAATCATGGCAATGATCGAAACGCGCGATGTTTCTCAATGTAGAGGTTGAGAAAACGGAGGACCCGGAGAAATATCCAGGCGACCACGGGGAGAGAAACACGCAAACTCCAAATACACAGCAGCAGCAAGGGTCAGGATCGAACCTACGACCCTCCTGTATACCAGGCGAGGTGGTTAACTTCTCCTGGCCGCTTGCTCTACACACGAGCCCATTCCATCTTCCCCCAGTGGACGTCTTGGACGCGGCCTCGTTGTTGGCTATCGGCCATCGTCGTCCCTTCTGGCTGTTAGCGAGCAGCACCTACGAAGGCCGGCACGGCACACGAGGGGGTGGGTGGCCAGCACCACGCCCGGCCGCCTTTGTCTCCCCAGTGGCGATGTTTACTACACACCGCACCAGGTCACTCATTTGAGGCTGACTCGCCGTAGGAGAGGCCCATGATGGGTTTAGATAATCGTCACCGGCGTTGGCCGCGAGCGGGAATCGAACTCCGGGTCGCCGAGTTCGTAGCGCAGCGTAGCGCTGACCGCTAGGCTGCGCTGCCACCAGTCGCACGCACCTACTGCACGTGGCAGCCCGGTCTCTCTAGCTCCGGGTCGCTGATCTTCACACCTCCTCGAGAGATGGCACATGAGCTGCCCACCCACCCCACCCACGAGAAGGGTGGCCACTTCCTCCGGCCTTTGAGGCTCCGCAACCTCCGGAAGACCAACCCCTCCCTTGCCCAGCCCTGCATGGTTTCAGGCTCCGTTTCGCTTTTCACACTTCCTCAGCAGACGGGACGCTCCGCCAGCCCACTCGCAGGATGATGCCAACTTGCTCTGCTATTTGAGGCGCGCCGGGCCCAGCAGTGTCAACTCCACCTTGCCCGGTAGCCGAGGGGTTTCCAAACTCCTTCCTAAAAACCTCAAGGGTTTGCTCGGCAAATCTGCAGACCTGATCCTAAGGTCAGAGATCGGATCGCCACTCCTCCCGCTCAAGGATATTCAGTCTCGGGGTTGCGACGCTGCGAATTCTAAGTTCTTGGTATTATTAAAGAGCATCTCGCGATCGCATAGCCACCGAGACGATCGCCATGCCGCACGGCTCTCTCCGCCTTTCAGCTTGCCGCAACAAGCACCACCTCGCGTCAGCCAGGGCCTCTGGCTGCATGAGCCACAACACCCAAGCCTCGGCCAGATTTCCTTCCGACATTGGGAGTGAAAGGGAAACGTGTCAAGCCAAAGCTGCAAACCACGATGGCATTTCCGGACTCGCAACTTTCGTCAGCTGTCACCTGAGACCAGGAACATTGTGGATTTGACTGTGGCCCAAGTTAGCTGCCCAACACCGTGTTGGAAGTATGACCGGCGCATCTTACGGATGGACACGCCAACGGTCAGTGGGCAGATCAGCTACATGGTCGGTCATGGTGTCAAGGACATGGGCCCGCATCCGCTGTTCCGTCACTATGTAGTCCAGCAGATGTTCTAGCTTGGACCCGGCATGCATCCATGATGTGTGGATGCACCGATGCCGGAACAGCGTGCATTAGCGATTACAAGCCCACAGGCTGCACAGATGTTGAGCAGCCTCCTACCGTTGTTGTTATTGAGCTTCACCCGGCCAATGCCTTCCAATGAGTCTGGCCCAGATGCCTGCGTCAAGAGCCGCTCAGGCATTCAAGTCGCCCAAGAGGGTGAGTTTATCCCGAGGGAGCCACTTTAGCCAGCACTTGGGACGAAGAGGTCATAGAAGGCGTCTGACTCATCAGCCTTGCCGGCCTGCTAACCCTCCACTCATGTTCATCTTCGGTGGGGGTGTGTTGGCCGCCACCATCACACCACCATCATCATCATCATTCCTCACCTATTAATAAGGAGGTGAGCTCACAACAGCCTGCAACTCATGGCCTCCCACACCTCGCGCTCCCACGCCCCTTCATTCTTTTGTTTAGAATAAGAGCCACTCCCTGCTGCTTGACATTATCCTGCGCCGAGTCGAGGACTATCCACCCCTCGTATATAATGAGAGGAGCCAGAACCAGTCCAAACACTGACAAAGATGCCCGGGGTAGCCTTTAACAGGCTTTTGAGCAAATACTGTCGGCGAGCACCTATGAAGGCCGGCATGGCACACCTATGAAGGCCGGCGTGTCACACCTATGAAGGCCGGCGTGTCACACCAATGAAGGCCGGGGCGTCACACCTATGAAGGCCGGCGTGTCACACCTATGAAGGCCGGCGTGTCACACCAATGAAGGCCGGCGTGTCACACCTATGAAGGCCGGCGTGTCACACCTATGAAGGCCGGCGCGTCACACCTATGAAGGCCGGGGCGTCACACCTATGAAGACTGGGGCGTCAGACCTATGAAGGCCGGGGCGTCACACCTATGAAGGCCGGCGTGTCACACCTATGAAGGCCGGCGTGTCACACCTATGAAGGCCGGCGCATCACACCTATGAAGGCCGGCGTGTCACACCTATGAAGGCCGGCGCGTCACACCAATGAAGGCCGGCGTGTCACACCTATGAAGGCCGGAGTGTCACACCTATGAAGGCCGGCGCGTCACACCTATGAAGGCCGGGGCGTCACACCTATGAAGACTGGGGCGTCACACCTATGAAGGCCGGGGCGTCACACCTATGAAGGCCGGCGTGTCACACCTATGAAGGCCGGCGTGTCACACCTATGAAGGCCGGCGCGTCACACCTATGAAGGCCGGCGTGTCACACCTATGAAGGCCGGCGTGTCACACCTATGAAGGCCGGCGCGTCACACCTATGAAGGCCGGCGTGTCACACCTATGAAGGCCGGCGTGTCACACCTATGAAGGCCGGCGCGTCACACCTATGAAGGCCGGCGTGTCACACCTATGAAGGCCGGCGCGTCACACCTATGAAGGCCGGCGCGTCACACCTATGAAGGCCGGCGTGTCACACCTATGAAGGCCGGCGCGTCACACCTATGAAGGCCGGCGTGTCACACCTATGAAGGCCGGCGCGTCACACCTATGAAGGCCGGCGCGTCACACCTATGAAGGCCGGCGTGTCACACCTATGAAGGCCGGCGTGTCACACCTATGAAGGCCGGCGTGTCACACCTATGAAGGCCGGCGTGTCACACCTATGAAGGCCGGCGTGTCACACCTATGAAGGCCGGCGCGTCACACCTATGAAGACTGGGGCGTCACACCTATGAAGGCCGGCGTGTCACACCTATGAAGGCCGGCGCGTCACACCTATGAAGACTGGGGCGTCACACCTATGAAGGCCGGCGTGTCACACCGATGAAGGCCGGCGTGTCACACCGATGAAGGCCGGCGTGTCACACCTATGAAGGCCGGCGTGTCACACCTATGAAGGCCGGCGTGTCACACCTATGAAGGCCGGCGCGTCACACCTATGAAGACTGGGGCGTCACACCTATGAAGGCCGGCGCGTCACACCTATGAAGGCCGGCGTGTCACACCTATGAAGGCCGGCGTGTCACACCTATGAAGGCCGGCGTGTCACACCTATGAAGGCCGGCGTGTCACACCTATGAAGGCCGGCGTGTCACACCTATGAAGGCCGGCGTGTCACACCTATGAAGGCCGGCGTGTCACACCTATGAAGGCCGGCGTGTCACACCTATGAAGGCCGGCGTGTCACACCTATGAAGGCCGGCGTGTCACACCTATGAAGGCCGGCGTGTCACACCTATGAAGGCCGGCGTGTCACACCGCACCAGCTAGAACTAGTCGAAGGCCGAGTCGGCGGCGCCGTGGCGAGCGCCGCACTGCGCTACGAACCCGGCGACCCGAGTTCCGTTCCCGCTCGCGACCAACGGCAGTGGCAGCGGACATCTGAGCCGGTTCTGGGCCTCCCCTAGGTCGACTCATCCAAAAACTCGATGCGCACACACGCGCGCTTACACTCGACAGACAGACACGCGCCGACGCATGAAGACATGCACAGGCACACGTGGTGGGGGGCGGTGACAAGTGGCGGTGGTGGCGAGCGGTGGTGGTGGCGAGGCGGTGGCGAGCAGTGGTGGAGCGAGGTGGCGGTGGTGGTGAGCGGTGGTGGTGATGAGCGGTGGTGGCGACGGTGGTGACCGGTGGTGGCGAGGAGTGGTGGAGCGAGGCAGTGGTGGAAAGGCGGTGGTGGCGGCAGCGGTGGTGGTGGTGAGCGGTGGTGGTGGTGAGCGGTGGTGGTGGTGAGCGGTGGCGGTGAGGAGTGGTGGTGGCGAGCGGTGGTGGCGAGCGGTGGTGGAGCGAGGCGGCGGCAGCGGTGGTGGTGGTGAGCGGTGGCGGTGAGGAGTGGCGGTGAGGAGTGGTGGTGGCGAGCGGCGGTGGTGAGCGGTGGTGGCGAGCGGTGGTGGTGGCGAGGCGGTGGTGGTGGCGGGGTGGTGGTGGAGCGAGGTGGTGGTGGAGCGAGGCGGTGGTGGTGGTGGCGAGGCGGTGGTGGTGGCGAGGCGGTGGTGGTGGCGGGGTGGTGGTGGAGCGAGGTGGTGGTGGAGCGAGGCGGTGGTGGTGGTGGCGAGGCGGTGGTGGTGGCGGGGTGGTGGTGGAGCGAGGCGGTGGTGGAGCGAGGCGGTGGTGGTGGTGGCGAGGCGGTGGTGGTGGCGGGGTGGTGGTGGAGCGAGGCGGTGGTGGTGGTGGTGGTGGCGAGGCGGTGGTGGTGGCGAGGCGGTGGTGGTGGCGGGGTGGTGGTGGAGCGAGGCGGTGGCGCTGGCGGTGGTCACCTGCAGCAGGAGGTCACAGAGCTGCCCGCCGCGCCGCAGCTCGTTGAGGCTGCTCAGGATGTCGGCGCTGTGCTCGGGGAACGGGATCCCGATGAGCCCCTCCTCGCCCGCCCCCATCGTCACTCGCGGCCCCGCACTTGGGGGGGGGGGGGTACAGAAGGGGGGGGTAGGGGTCAAACACAGCTGTGAGTACACTCAGCGGCAGTCACACACACACACGCTGCTGCTGCTGCTGCTGGTGGTTTAGCTGGTGGTGGTGGTGGTAGCTGGTGGTGGTGGTAGCTGGTGGTGGTGGTGGTTTAGCTGGTGGTGGTGCTGGTGGTGGTAGCTGGTGGTGGTAGCTGGTGGTGGTTTAGCTGGTGGTGGTGCTGGTGGTGGTAGCTGGTGGTGGTAGCTGGTGGTGGTGGTAGCTGGTGGTGGTAGCTGGTAGCTGGTGGTGGTAGCTGGTGGTGGTGGTGGTAGCTGGTGGTGGTAGCTGGTGGTGGTGGTGGTAGCTGGTGGTGGTAGCTGGTGGTGGTAGCTGGTGGTAGCTGGTGGTGGTAGGTGGTAGCTGGTGGTGGTTTAGCTGGTGGTGGTAGCTGGTGGTGGTAGCTGGTGGTGGTGGTAGCTGGTGGTAGTGGTGGTGGTAGCTGGTGGTGGTAGCTGGTGGTGGTAGCTGGTGGCGGTGACTCAGGGTGCGGAGGCGTTCGTGGAGGAGCGTGCGTGACACTCGCGCTCGCGTGCGCGCGCACACACACACATACACGCTCACTCACTCGCGCCGTCTCACTCACTCGCCCTCCTCACTCACTCGCCCTCCTCACTCACGCATTCAAAGGCAAAGATGCCCCTCACTCACTCGCACGCTCGCACGCGGCCGCTCTCCCCGCACCAGGCAAACACGGCCGATGTTGCCGCCTCCTCCTCCTGCAGAAACTTGAGAGATTTTAGCCGGAAGCATTCGGCTGCTATTTTCACACCCACGGCTCCCCACACCCTCTCCCTGCCACTCTCCCTCCCTCCCTCCCAGCCCCGCCACATGCCGCACACTCTCCCACCCACACTCCCACCCACCCACTCTCCCACCCACCCACACTGCCTCCCACCCACACTCCCTCCCACCCACACTCCCACCCACCCACACTCCCTCCCACCCACACTCCCACCCACCCACACTCCCTCCCACGCTCCCACCCACGCTCCCACCCACCCACGCTCCCTCCCCCCACGCTCCCACCCACGCTCCCTCCCACCCACGCTCCCACCCACGCTCCCACCCACGCTCCCACCCACCCATGCTCCCACCCACCCACGCTCCCACCCACCCACCCACACACCCACACACCCACCCACCCACACTCCCACCCACCCACCCACCCACACTCCCACCCACCCACCCACCCACACTCCCACCCACACTCCCACCCACCCACACTCCCACCCACCCACACTTCCTCCCACCCATACTCTCTCCCACCCACACACACTCCCACCGACACTCCCACCCACCCTCCCTCCCACCCACACTCTCTCCCACCCACACACACTCCCACCCACACTGCCTCCCACCCACCCACACTCCCTCCCACCCACCCACACTCTCTCCCACCCACGCTCCTACCCTCTCTGCAACGCTCGCTGGGCCACGGCGCTGGCTGACCGTGTCCATCCCTAAACAGGGACGCGGAGACGCGGCCACGTGCTCTGCCTGTAGCTGTTACAGCTGCACTGGCGCCTGCTGCTGCATCAGACACAGACGCAGCTGCACTGGCGCCTGCTGCAGCGTCAGACACA